AGGGACTGAAATAATTGTGTTCAGGTCCATGGCTTCTGCCACAATCAGTGGCTTTCATTTTTTTAAGCTTCTGCCATTAGAAAAAATTAGGAAGTCTGACAATACTTATCTTTTTCTAGGAGGAGCTTATTATTATTCTTTTGAGAATGAGCATATGGCTTTTCTTCATGAGTATACAAGGGCTTTGCATGATATTGGGTAAATATGTGCACTCAAATTCTCAACACTTCCTGTACAATTTTAAGTGACCAATTTTGGGGAGTGGAAAGGAACCCAGCTCCTAGGTGGTTGTGTTCTTACCCCTGTTTTCAGGTGTCTATTTCAGAGAGCTTTAACTGGCTGATACCACAGTGGTGGCTTTGAAAACTTAACTTTTTTCAAAGGGGATCACAGAATTCATCTTAAATAAAAAGTCCAGAGAGGTTTTCCTGAGGTCCAGTATCTGAGGGGAGGATGGTACTGTACAATTAGGGCTTTTTTTAGAAAGGTTATCCACACTTTCTGATAGGAAGTGCTAATTAGTGCTTTTAACTACATATAAATATTACTCCATCATCTTTTCTGAATGTATTCAGCTGTCTTGGTTAAGATCTAAAAATAGATCTAAGAATGAATTGCACACACTACTGTATCAATTAATGAAATTTACTCCATATAATGTGACTGACTTCTAAAAATATTTTATTTTAGATTAAACTCCTAAATATACTGTCAGATGTTTCTGTAAGGCGACTAATTCATAGAAAGCTTGGGTCTCAAGCTGAAGCACTGAAACTGTGTAAACATTTTGCGATAGCCAGATGTCATTTAATAGCTTCATAATAATAGCTTGGTCTTCACATGAATTTCACTTTTTTTTTTTTTCTTGAACATGTAACATATGTGGAATAGCCAGCAAATATGAATTTTATCAATCAGATATAGTTTGACATTTTTAACACTTTTTAAACTTTACAAAGACGTGTTTACCATATGGTGTAAGTGGGTGTGCAGGAAACGACACTGTTTCATGAAGTCTGATATATATTATACTACTTTTCCATGAACTGAGCATGAACGTTTCCTTTTAATGGGTGTGCTGAAGGCAAGCCTTTGAAGCATGGGTGTATAACTTTGGACAGTAACTTTTAGGTTTGTGTGCTTCTGTAGGTGACTGTTTTAAAATCACTTAATACTTTAGCTTTTCTTATTTTTTATTTTACTTTATTCATAAAAGTTTGTTCCACATAAATGTTGCAGCATGTGAAAGAAGTAACAGAAAAGCAGAATTTATATTTTTCTTGTCATTGTTGCAGTAGCCAGCTGTTATTATTGTGGTCGAAAGTATCCTATTTCCTGTTTATATTCTGCATCTTATGAAGATGCTGCAGAGTTTCAAGGCAATTCCATGATCCTTGAACTGAAATGCTGTATATCATTAAATTGAATTAGTCATGATAGTTTCTTCAGAAATAGGGTTGTTGCAGCTTTCAGTGACTTGAAGATAGTGATTTTAAATACTGTTCTGGCTTATTTGCATACAATAATGGTTTCATTCAGTTAGCATTTCATGCATAGATGAGAGCACAGCCCTTAATGCTCTGTTGTGCAGTACCTTGAATACACATTGGACCAGTGTTACGTAGAGTGTGGAACTTACCACTCAGTGCAAACCAGCGACTCATGCTTGCTTCTTTTGTAGAGAAAAGCTTGTTTCTGTTCCAACAGCCAATTAAAAGTAAAAAAGTACTCAGTGATAACTGCTTTTCAGATGACTAGTTAAAGCATCATTTAAATGCCAAAAGGACACAGTTTCCCAAGATTATGAATATATGTACAGTTAAAGTTTAACATGTCCCATCTAGACACAATTTTTGACTAATTGCTAGAAACTTACATATGCCTCTCTGAAGTTATTTTTTGATTTAGTCTCCTGCTTGTCAGATAATCACTAGCTTACTTAATTGTTTAAACAAAGGTCAGGTAGGGAAAAAAAAATAATCCACAGCTAAAAGGTTGGGTTTTTTAAGCTTTGTTTCTCCATATTTAATACCTGGCAGTTTCTCTGACAATAGCGACACCTTTTTCTTTCTTAGTGGGGGCTAGAATAGCTACTCGTTAAACGGAGTGTCTTAAACAGGGTCTGATAGCTAGGACATGTTTGTAATTCATGAAACTATGAAATATCACACCCTGCAGTTCCAAAAAAAAAAAAAAACTGCTTAGCACATAGGCTTCATGATATAAAGATATTAGTTTTAGAATATAACTTAAAACCGCACAAGTTTTCTGCTTTTTTTGAAAAATAATACCCTTATTAACATGCCCTTCAGCCTAAGGCAGGAGGAAGAAAATTCAGCTAAAAATGCATGTAAACGTACAGTACTACCAAGAGAGTGGTTTGCAATATTACAGCCGCCTGGCACCAGCACTCAGGAAGTCATGACTGTTAATACCACCAGTCTCTTTTCATATATAACCTACTTAATCCTGAGAAGGGCAAATTGAAGATTAGTAATAATGCATCTCCAGGTCTTTCTCCCACTATCCTTGTTTTCAGACGAACACTCTGAAATGGTCTCTCTGATCCTCTATCAGCACTTCCTCCGCTCCCCTGCTGATAAAGCATGATGATGCAAAAATCAACCTCCAGATTGTCAACCCTGGTCAGAGGCACTCTGTTTTACCAGTTTAAATAGTAACTGCTATACTTCTCACCAGGAAAGAAACAACTCAGTCCTGTCTGTCATGCAGTACATTACAAAACCTAGTGGCATCAGTCCAAAAATCACAAATCCAACTGTAACTACTACTCCTTTGTGGGAGGGTTTATAGAGCAGAGTTTGTGCGTAAGTGTGTTTGTTTCCACACCACATCCTTGAGCATCTCTTGAAGTCTTTTTCACCAAGTGTCAGTGTTTGATAGTTGAAACATTTAGCTAAATGTACATACTGAAATTGAATCCAAAAAGAAATGGAAAACAATATAACTCATTAAAAAATGTCTATTTATTAATAAAAATTTTTTGTAAATTTATTTTTATATTAAGGGACTCTATTTACTGTGTCTTGTAGGATCCTTTGTTTGTGTTCTGTCACTATTTATGCTTAATTTAAAAGAATCTTTTATATGCAGCTTTCTTGAAGTGGAGATGGTCGTAATACCAGTGACTGCAGCAATATTGATCTCAGTTGCTGTTACTTAAAGGCTTTCTGAGCTGGGTTTTAGGAAGCTGTAGACTACCTTGAGTTTCTTATTAAGAGTACATCATTTCACAAACGTATTCTAAAATAACTTTTTCCCATATGGTGTCAATGGCACTATTTATCTAAATACAGTATTCAAGACAAAGTAACTATTGCTGGGATATGAGCTCTTGTTAAGGGGTCCCAAGTATCCTATCCAGCTATTACTACTTTTGCAATAGAATTATGAGAAAAAGGAATGACTTCAGGATAAAAATAGATTTGGATAAAATTGAAGCACGCATGAAAACTGACAGCGCAACATTTCACCTTATCTCCATAGAGATACTATATATGTAGAATTTCTGCATGGGGATCGCTCCTTCCAAACTAAGGAATGCATGTTGGGTTTGGATCTTTTTAAGATTATACCTTCTATCGCTGTTCTTGTTGATTCTGGAACTAAATGCACTATACAATAATGTGTGCCTTGCAGTTTCCATGATTTCAGATGATGAATAACATTCTCTTTGGGGTTGTGTACTAATGTCCTATTTATTTCCATCGTCTGTTCTCATGTATATACTTTATTCTCCTAGTTGGCAGCTACTTTCAGCTTCCATTCATTGTAATTTTTAAATCAGCGGAAACTGGATGAACTCCATCTTACTCAGCAGTTCAGAAAATTAGGCCCAAATGGAAGATTTTCTGTAAAATGTTGTTACTAAATAGCAAATTTTGAAAGGCTAAGTATTTTTTGAATTTTAAAGCTAAACTTCATGATCTGAATTCAGAAATATAATTTCTTCCCTCTCACCCTTCCTTTTGATTCTCTTACTTTTCTGAAGCACTTTAAGACTGCATGTACTTTGAGACTTTAAGCACATAATTTTGTTACCAAAACAGAAGATAGTTTCACTATAACAAAGGTTTGCTATAGTATCAGCTTTAAAGCTGAAGTTTAGTATAAAAACTTCTCAAGATTAAATTAGCTTTGTTCTGTTTTGTCCAGCTATCTTAAAACATATTTTTTAAACAGTTCAGTGTGTGAGCAGTATAATTTAAACTGCTTTAAGGTACAGACTGTCAAAACTAAGAAATCAGATTGCTCTGATTACACACTCCAGTTGCTCCTCAGTTTGAGAATTTAACTCACGTCTCGTGCCCATGTGTGTCAAGTAAGTAATAATAATAATCCAAAATGCCTCTATGAGAGCCTTCTATGTGTTTGGAGAAATCTTGGCTTAAAGCAAAATGTGTTTGCTATTTTGGCATACAGAATGGGGGAGAATCATCCAAGTGAGTGACCCTCTTGAATGTCTTTATGAAATTTGACAGTGTGTGACTCAACCAGTTAAGCACAACTTCTGTCAAGGAGCCCTGTTAATAATTCGTAATTCTTCTTGGTTACTTAAGATAGAATTTTATAGCTCGTTTATATTTTACTCATACAAAGAATTATACAACTTTCACCATATTAATGTTTAGGAGCTCCTGGTAAAGAAGAAAATAATGACTGATATATTTCTTTTTTTATGTGTATATATAACATTTTGCACTTTGTTCTGAATTTTGTTTGGCATACAAACTATTAGCCCTTTTTCTTCTAATTAGACTTTTTTTAGTTTCACTACATTGTAACAAAAATTCATCTTCCGGTACAGGTCATATTGCAAATAATACATACAATCTTATGTACTATAATGAATCAAGTGTGATGTTATAAAGTGCCTTTCTTCAATACAGTCATTTGAACTCTCAAACATTGCTTTTTTTATATCTGACACTGAAAAGTTGCTTTTCTGTATCAAATAATTTTGGGGTTTTTTTTGCCAGATTGTCACAAATTACTCCACTTTTCAAGAATACTCAGACAAGCCCAAGGTACACACAGTTCCTGACTACGTTGCTGGAAGAACTGCATTTCAAAAATGAAGATCTGGAAAGTTTAACAAGAATATTTAGAAAGGACTGCCTACTTGAATGGTCAGTCAATTTTAAGGTGTTTTGCATGTCATAAAACTAAGGCAGTTAACAACTGTTCTAATTTTCAGCATTTTATAAGTATGCACGGTAACTACAGATCGTATCAACCAGAGTAGAAAATACGTAAAGTACATTTTAAAGTAAAGAAATATATATATGGTATGGAAATGAGTGTCATCATTTTGTCACTTACGGTAAATGCCAGCTGCTTACTTATCACTTTAATCTTTTGAGAATATATAGTTGGTGTAGTGCAATTTTGGGAGGAAATTTTACTCAAGTTCTACTACAATCTATAAAAAAAATTTTGTGTGTGACTACAGTGGCTGTCAGTGGGGCTTATTTATTATTAAAATGAAATTTTTATGTTCACTCTTTGTGATACAAAATGGAGCTAAAAGCCACATATTTCTTGCCATAATACTGAAATTACATTATACATTCTGGGTAGGCTGAAAAGTTTAAGAGCAAATACCTTATTTATGCTGATTACATTCAGCTGATTCAATGAATATAGCATTATGCTATTTAAGTAATTAGTGTATTAACATTACTGATCTCACTCTTTTTTTCCCCCACAGAAAAAGGTGATCATCTTAACGTCTCCTAATATCTGAAATAGTGTCACAGAGAACAAAAGAACGCCTTCAATTGTTAGAACATTTTTAAATGAAAAATGGAATTTAGTATTAATTGTACTCTTGCGCTTTTGCTTTTTCATTTCCTTCCTGTGAATAAGAATTTTGAAGTCTTGTGGAGAATCTGACTATAACAGCAGTTGCCCAAGGTATGCATGAAGACTCATTAAAATATGGATCATCTGAAAACTGTCTATTTAAAAGCAGTAGAAAGGAATTTGGATTGGTTTGGTTTTTTCTTGCTTTGGAAATTTTCAGCCAAGATTTGTCTACAGGAATTTGAAAGAGAGGGGGCAGGAGGGAAAGCCTGTTAGCCTGGAGCATTAAGAACACTGCTGCTGACATGTTTCCAGTTGACCCAATGCATGGAACAGTAATCTTTAAGAATGATGCTGACAGTACACAAAGATGACTGATCTGTAGCTTGTGTGTCTTGCTACTTCTAAAACAAGGGGTGGTCTTTGAACTTGTGTAAAAGTTATTTTTAAACAGCTTCTAATTGTAACTAAGTTGGACTTTATATTTTAATAACTGAAAACTTAATTTTTGGCTTTCAGTAGTCATTTCATTTAAGGGACTTGTGTTGTTTAGACTTGCTTCTGTCACTAGCTGATTCTGAAATGTGATTTAAAACTAATCCAGTAGTAATTCTTAATGATTCCATAATATGGTTTGTTGCACAGTTCTCAGTTCATAGGACACTGGCCTTTGAGAGACTTGAGAAGAAAGATGTAACTGATAGTGCTTATTCTGCAGCAAATATCAGCACTAGTTAAGGCTGAAGCAAGACTTACCAGGGCTGGCTACATAGCAACTCCATTTTAAAAACAGAGTTTATTCCTTTGTTTTGTTTCTGTAATCGGATACCAAAGGGGAACTCTGCACTTAATTATTTTATTGCTGTGTAGTTCCTTCATGATAATCAGGATAAATACATTGATTGCCCTGACACACAGGAGCCTGTGCAGCTTTTCCCTGGAAGCTTCATTCTGCGGTAGTTTAATTAGGTGATGCTTGACTTTTCCTAACTTACCTTCCTAATGGGGAGTTATATTTAGTATAACTTGTAAAAGCAACAATTTACAATGAGGAAGACCTTTAATGCAGAGTTAAAGCTATGCATTTTTCTAAGTATGCAATAGGAAAAAAATACCCATCATGATCAGGGCGTCTCATGTCAGATTCGTAAGAATGCATGATGTAATCTGGATAGAAGGTACACTGGTTTTGTACCATGGTGGAAAACTTTTTACTTGATACATGTGCAAAGAAGGGACAAGACCTCACCAAAAGATAAGCTTATAGAAGACTGAGAAATAGGTATGAAACTCTGAGCAAAACATAAACCTTGAATTTATTTCTGTCTGCTTCTGATTTTGGAATTTAAATATATACTTTTTTTTTTTTTTTTTAGGTAGTACTTCACTGTAGATTCTGAGCAAGCTATTGTTCTGTTCCATTCATGTTTCCCTTGGGGTATAAAGATTACAACTACCCCATGACAATGCTGCTATACAGAGTACACCTGGAAGGCATTACAAATGTACATCATACTGGGAATATGACTGCTCCATCAGGTTCAATGGCACTTATTTGGAAAGTTTTTACACTTCCTGTCAGTTTAGTGGTGTGATTTTTTTTGTTAGTTATTTTTAGGCTTGGTCTTCAGCACTCACTGTGTAGGAAACCTATGATCTTGTAACAAGAGTGAATAGGTCACAGGCCTCAAGACCTCTTTATCAGGGTTCACTGTAGCTGCTTTTACTGTCTGCCTTAGCAGCTAAAAAAAAGTAAGCTTCCAGGATTTTTGCATCTTCTCCTTGACTACTGTGTAGTAAGCTCACTCATTCTTTTTCTTACCCTAAGAGAACAGAATAACCTTTTTCCTTCCATTACATTCACCAGTCCAGAAGAAAGACTTCTATAATATACTGGAAATGACCTGAAGGGATATTCTTCGCTTACCTTTAATGATTTCATCTCCTGTAGTTGTGAGTAAAGCACGTGTAAATAAATGCAGAAAGTATACCCATTACACTTTTGAGTACAAGAAGGGCTGTAGACTCATCTCAAAAGGATTTTCATACTATCAGCCTTAATTGGTTGTACAAGGCACCAAAAATAACTGAGATAGATGAGGTGCATCTGTGACTTCAGAGGCTGTGCCCACATAACAGATGGAAGATTCACCTGTATTTTCACTCTTCAGTCCCAGTGAGTAGGTCTTGGTGGGGAAGTAACAGTCCTGGGAATCTTGGTGTTGAACCTATATGTCCCTTTCTCCCACCAGTTTGAGAGAATCTGGACTCTGCAAAATGCAAGAGGGGCTGAGCAGCTCAGCAGGACGTTAAGTCTCAGTTGACCTTTAACTGCTGGAGAGAAAAGGACTAACGCATCAGAGAGAAGAAAAAGGAAGAGAGAAGGGGAAAGCAGTATTCACACGTTCTAAATTTAGGCATCTAACCATAGCTACCTGCCTATCTCCATTTACTTCAGAGAGAACCAGTACTCTTAAATTAAGGTTCTCCAAATCATACCTCAGTGCAAGTGTATGAAATGGGTGGTATTAATGCCTCTGACCCTATTCCCTGTTGGCAGAAAGAAAGCTGAAAAGTCAGCTGAGAACTTTGACCATAGTAGATTGGCTTTCCCTGGAGTAATTTATTTAGTAGTAAATTGTGGCACAAAACTGATTGGGGACCTGCCTCTGCAAAGTGGGAAGTTTCTAAGCAATCTGATCCTATTGTTCAGTTATTTTGATGGCTGCTACTTCACACAGATTTTTTCTTAACCTGTAAGAGTTAAAACCAAAAGAATTAATATGAGTGGCAGTACTCAGGAAGAAAAATAATGCCTGTGTGTTGCAAGGACATCCAGGAGGTTACACTAGTTCTACCTCCAAGCTTTCCATACTTACTGTTTATTTCTGCGGTTGCTTATGAACACTCAGTAGTGTGGGTGGGGTTTAGCTTGTTCTCACTGGGGTAGCAGGTAATGAACTGTCATTTCCAATGAGCATTAAATATTGAAAACACAGAATCAGCCTCTCTTTGGCAAGTCTTAAGTTTCCATAAGCAGCAGATGGTATACAAGGCAGGGCTAGGCACCTATAAAGACTCTCAACTGTGTATCTCTACCACCTGACAGCCAGTCCTCCTCTGATTAGAGCCAAAGGAAGTGGGTGTGCCTTCCATGATCAAAGACAGAAAGTAATATTGCTAGAGACTTTTCCTCTTGTGAGCTTTCTTTTTGTGACTCTTCATCTTAGAACCACTTCTCTGCACAGACTGCAGACAATGCTTTGGGAGACGAGCTGCCTGAAAGGTGCTGTAGAACGTGAACTGTGGCATTTGTGGTGCTGAACAGGATTTGGCGAGGTGGGGGGAGAGAGCTGGCAACCCGTGTCTTCAAGTAGCTCTCATTTGAGCACTCTGCTTTCGAAAAGCAAGTGAAAACATACATCACCTTCAACGGCTGATCTGGACATGCGTGATAAATGTTAATCATTCCCCCTTGGTTGCTTGCAGATGCAGAGCAAGGAGCAAGGCAACCTGGAGTTCTGAAAAATAGACAAGAATAGCCAAAAAGAGTAATAACTAGCAAGAAGAAAAATGAAAAACAAGCACAAGCCTTCCGAAACTATTCTTGTCCTGGAATATGGGCGATATTGTGAAATACCTTTTGGGCATCCTCCTCAAAATAGTATCCTCAGTACAGCATCAAGTCTGGGGCAGCATTAACTGTTGTGGCAGGGCTGGAAAGGCCAGAAACAAAGCCCACCAGCTTTCAGACCAGTGTTTCTTAGATCTGCAGGCCATGTTTATCTGCCCAGTGACTTTGCCACCATAGCTGACTGCAGATATAAGTCTTAGACTTAGGAAGGCTTATCAATCAGAATAATGCAGTAAGGGTGACCCCTGCAACATTTCAGATGTCCACCTGTTTGTTGATTTTACTGTGCTATCCTGCAGGTACCCCAAGACAACGGCTCCCTAATGAGTCCCTTCTCCAAGACCAGACTAGAGCTGACACATTGGTGATCATCAGGCAGTTGCATCTTGCCACTGTGAAAACCTCCCCCTTAGAAGTCAGTCTCTAGAATGCTTCGGGAGCCTATACTTTAAAGGCAAAGTCTTCAGTGCGTTGCTGCAGGCTGTTATTACCTGCAGGAGCTGCATGCAAAGATCAGAGAACAAAGCCAGTGGGGCTAATGACTGGAACATCCTGCATCATTGCAAGCCACATCAAATCAGTGCTATTTCTGGCACTTTTTAGCCTCTTAAATTTCATGGGGTATGTAACTGAATTGAACACATTGTGGGACAGCAGCAGCTTCCTGGAGAGCCCTGCACTTTGGTTAGAATTAGTCATCACTACAGAGTTTGAAGGACTTTGGATACAGCTTTAATAAGCTGCAAACACTTAGATCACGATTTACATCATAAATCTTGCCTTTTTGTTCTACTCAAATGGGAGTGTCTACAAATCAGGTTAATATAATTTAACAGTACAGTAGTTAGGTAACAAAAAAGATCATAATTGGTAGTATTATCTAAGAAGCCAGAACAACCCTGCTTACAGCTGCCAGCTAAGATCTGACTCATCTAAGGTATTTTATAGCAACCATATGTTAGGCATGTCTATCTCACCTACTATGCAAAAAAATGATAACGTTTCCTAATCAGGATTTGCCACTGAGCAGGATTTTCCGTAAACATCTCAGTATTGCAGGCGCTATCCACAGTCAGGAGAAAGCCTTTTGCAGACATTTCAGATTTGTTAATTTAACAAATAGAATAAATGTCTACAAATCTGGGGCTAGTACTGATTCAGCAAGGCTGGCTGCAGTTCAGAGTATAGGTATGTTACTTTGGCAGTTGACATGTTAAAACATCACTTAAGAATTCTGTGTTTGAAAGTAACATCAGAATACCTGCACTTCTTGTGCAAAAAAAAACCTGGGTGTTTCAAATTGAAGACACAGTCTTGAAGCAGGAACAGCTATGTGATACATTAAAAATACTTCACTGAGATGGCACAAGCAGAGTTGTATTGGTATAGCATGTTTACCTGCATAGGCAGAAAAGAGAGGGTGAATTCATACCAGTACAGGAGAGAAAGATTAAAAGTTAAGTCTGAAGATACTAAGGTCTTTGACAACAGTGCAGTTGGTTAAGCTGGAATCATCACTGCATTTTAACAAGAGCAGACACTTGTAAACCCCATTGGCTGTTGATTTTTGAGCAAGTTTTACATCCAGTTCACTGTCACACAGAAACACTGCCTAATCCTCTGCAGTCTGATGTTCGTTCTTGCACAAAGACTAGTTAAATGTACATCAGCCTTAACTATTGCTAGGCTCCTGCTGCATTATCTGAGTAGTCTAAAGGAGTAATGCCAGGGATGAAGCTGCAGTCCCGACACTCGCTTCTGTTCTCAAAAGGACAGTAGTTTTATTACTTAAAGCTCTGATGACAAAGCTCCTGTTAATGCAAAGGAGAGCAAACACTTGACTTGGTAATTATATACCTTGTTTAGGAATCACAATCTTTCATTTTTTTAAGAGAAGCCCTCCACTTAAAAGCTTCTTTGAATACATTTGTTTTTTCTGAACTGTGGACTGTCACTACATTTAAAAAAAAATTAAAAAAGTAAAAAGCAAAGTAGGTATTTTTGCTGCATAAGATCCTTGGTTCATTATAAAATTTCACAACTAGAAATGTAGTTAAAGTATTTCTTCCTTATTATTTCTCCGGAAGGCATTTAAGAACTTGGAAAATAAATGATTTTACAGGTACCATATTAGCCCTCAAGAGCTCTGGGTCAAATATTTGTCATCTCTGCTAACTATTCATTTCTAAGATCCTCCCAAGCTCTGCTTTTTTGTACACTGAACATCTGATGCTTCTTGTTTTTCCTTCTGTAACCACAGATGTGCCCTCTTCAAAAAACTCACAATCTCAAAATACTAAACTGACAAGCTGAGTGTCAAACCACACACCCCAAGCAGCAAGCAGTGCTGAAGAAAAACAGAATCACGCTTGAAGAAAAACAGAAGAAATCACACAAATTCTTTCCAAAGAATGAATCTGAAATGTTTTCAACTCTGCGCAGGCATTGTTTCTTAAGAATGCAAATGCCATTTGATGTTTCTAGTTTTCATGCTCACTTACTGTATCAGCAGGGGCTGCTCTCGGAAAGAAGAGATTAATTTGAACACTGCTTTATATTTTCTTGTTGAGTCTTATCTCTCTTTGAGCTAAACTGGAGCCTCGCTATGGGACCAGGATGAGTCTCCTTGTTTGCCAAAAAGCAGCACGGGTGTTCCTGTGCTAGTTGACTTACACACTAGGGTAAGCGAGGCCTCTTCGCTGGGAACGTGTGGTTTGTGTGCACCACTGAGCCTCTGCATCAGAGCCCCTGGGTGCTGCTGGCTGAGAGCGTACCGGAGCTGGACAGCAAAGCTCCCGTCATGAGCAAGCAGGCCCACAGCTACCAGTTTGCTGTTCCTGTTTGATCACAGGGGAGCAAGGTGATTTGTCCAGGGCTTCGTGACAGGCTGTAGCAGGACTCGGGGCTCTTTCAGTGCCTGTCTGCAAGCCATCCCTCTTCCCATTGCAGGGACTCATGTGGGACCAGGTTTAGTCCACGATGCTCTAGTTCTAAGGTCCTGAACATTTACAATTTGTCTTGGTACTAATGTTGTCAGTTACATAAAAGGCCTTGTGATACTGTCCTGCAAAGAATGACTTGCAGAAGGGGTCATTTTCATGCTGAAAAATTATGTAAGACCAGCTAGCTCGTTTCTTACACAAACTGTCAAGTATACTTCACACTTTGTAGCATGCTGTCACCTTATCTCTACAGTTCAAAATTTCTCATAGCATTAAAAAAAAGTTTAAAAGCATTGCTAGAAACATGTATTTAGCTGCCTTGAAGGCTCTCTGTCGATATGCAACTGTAAGATAATGCTGTTGTGCAGCAGGTTTCACTGAAAGAAACATCCTTTTTTTAATCTGCTAATTCAAAGGTAAAACACTGATTTCCAGTTTTGGTACTTGACTGCTGATCTTCTGTGAAGATCTGTGTAAGAGTAATGCTGGATTCTGGGTTACACCATCTATATTTTTTAAGGGCTTGAGTCAAAAGCTAGATTTCTTTTTTCCTAGTTCATCTCTGCCTGATAGCCTTGAATACAAGAGAGATGATGCCTGAAGCAAAGCTGATAAAAGTCACCAGTACTAAGAAGCATGTGTGTTGGGGGGTGGAGGGGAAGCACAACAGCATAGATACATATCTTCACATCCTTATTTCCTTTACAAATGGGGAAAGGAAGTTCCCTGCAGGTTAGCCCAAGAGTATCAGCTCTTACAGCCTGCAAGCTAATGAAGTACAATTTCCAAGAGCCAAAGGCTTTTAAAAATACTGAATTCAGTATCTCACAGATAATACTCCAAGTTTTTTCTATACCTAATGCTACCAAAAGCCTTTTACTGAAAATTCACAACTGGGTATCGCAGCTATCAGCGCTGCAGACACCCCACCCTGTTTCATATCTCTATTCTTGACTCTTCCCTCTTCTTCCAAATCTTTGCTGTTCCTCCCAGTCCGGTGCCTGGCCATTCCTTTCCACTTTACCTCTTCACTAATTCCAACAGCCAGGTCTCATCCTCCTACCTGCTCCCTGTCCGCCCCTGTAAAGATCCCACCCAGCCGTCACTTTCCACAGCAGGAGGCCCCTGAGCTTCCCACCCCTCGCTGGCCCCCTGCGCCTCGCACAGGGACGAGGAAGGGACGGCACTGCCCGGCGAGGGCCACCTCGTGCCTCCCACCCTCCCGTCCACGCACCGAGCTGCTGCAGGGAACCTGCTGCGAGGCTCTTTTTTTCAGCACAGGATGGTTTCACTGGCCATCTCTCCCCTCGTCCCCTGAAACAGGCTCCCGCGCGTCGCTGGTTTGGTGCCCATTTGCCCAGGCAGCCTCTCTGCAGCTGGGAGGACACTGCCCAGGGGCCACACGGCTGCTGCTGGACGGACAAAGATACTCATACAATGATTCTTACAACAGCATCTATAGATTATTATGAAACTTGTCTCTAAAACTGATACGAATCACCCCACAGCTACAGCAGTGCTGCTGTGCAGAGATAATTAAGAATTTTTATGCAACTTCTTTAATCAGAAGAGGCCTACTTGGTTGAAAATGAAACCTCTGCAGGAAAAGGTTGGTTTTGATTAATTTCTCAACGTGAAAAAGTATCCAAATTGTCAGTGTGTTTCACTTCAACATTTCTAAACACACAGGAAAAAAAAAAAAATCAAGTTTAAAGTCACTTTTCATTTTAAGATGGGTTAAATTTCATTATGATCAACTGTTAAGCAGCCATTTTAACACTCTTCACAGCATTAATTTTTTGTTTGCAAAAATTTACATTTTTCACTTGTCTTCCCTAATGGTTTGTTGTAGGGTAGTCTATGTGAACACTCCAATGTATTTTTCCTTAGAAGTACAGTATTTCTTTTTAAAAGTAATGTGATGAGGAGCAGTAACAGCATTGTTCAGAATTTCTTGCTATGGAAGAATCCTCAAATAATAGCCCCTGTGTTTCTATAGGCTGTTACATATCAAAAGCCGTTATCTTTCATAATGCAACCTCTCGGAGGATTTTACTGCTGAAAGAAGAGATACATTCCTGCTTGTAACTAAGTGTTGTAAGAAATTGTCCAGTTTCAGAACTTGAACCCAGATTACAGCTTCACCACTGAAGATGGATCAAACTGATCGCTGACTACACTGGATCATGCTTCTTTTTAGTTACTAATTTTTTTTGGTCTGAGCTAATGGTGGTCTTATGGCACATGAATATATTGAGATGAGCTCTTTACCATTTGAGGACTCTTAAGAGGATTATCAGTTAGCAGTTTCATAATCAATTTCAAGCCATTTTCCAAAGATAGGTAACCCCTTTTCACAGAAAAGGAAAGTGAAAGGGGAGCGGAGTGACTCATTCAGGCACGTGGACTATGTCAGCCACCGAGCCAGAAATAGACTCTGAGCTCCTGGTACCCACACTGAGGGCCTGGGGATTAACCTGACTTTCACTGAAATTGATAGCAGGCACCCCACCATTTTGCAAAGGAACATCCCTTTCTGGTAGAACATGCATTTGAAATTCAAAATAAGTTGGCTTTCTTCTTGGTGATACATGCTGTAATACCTCCCTTACTCCTTTGCCTAATCCTACACAGAGATGAAAGAAAAATAATAGTTCATTGAGCATATTTTTCTGTATCAATTGCTTTGCCTTGATGTTGCTGATACTATCAATTTGGCTTCACACCAGACAGAAATGTTACAGCTGAATTGGGTCAGATTTTCATGAGTATTCACCACCAAATTTGGGTCATATGTCTGCAGATATACCACTGCAAACCTTAGACTCAATTTTGAACACAGTTAAGTATGTTGAGGCCAGGCATTTTAAAATAAAAAAAAAATAAATAAATAAACTAAAAGTAGTCCATTTGCCTCAACGGTGTATGCTGAGGTCTTTGAGGAATCCGGGCCACTTTGTCTATCTTCTTGTCTGTTTATAACCTTCCTGCCCCTTAAAGAAGATGAGGCTACAGATATAAGGGGGAGCTGATGGCTGGTCAGAGCTACATGGGAAATGTTTGCGAGGCACAGGACAGAAGCACTACGGGGGCAGAGGGCTTGAGATCCTGGGGCTCAGTGCTGCTCATTGCAGCCACCTAGCAATAAACTCACTCACTGGGTTAGCCCATGAGCTTTAAACTGGCCTCAAGGAGAAGATGATGTGACCACTCTGGTCGAGTGGACTATTCTAGGCTATATGAGAAAGAAACCAGGAGGATGTTGTCCTTTCCTGTGACACTGTGGATGGACTAGACCAACTAATGTTAATTTTTAAGAGTCTTGCAAAACCGGAGTATGTTTGAAAGCAGTAATGAACTTCAGTATGTTTCCAGTAGTAAAAGATGAAAGGGTACAAGAGGGCTTAGGTCCAAGGAAGCCTAAGCAAGTGGTCCGACAGTAGTTCTGGGTTAATATTGGACCACAAAAAAAGAAATAGATACATGGGGGATGGGCATGGGTGGAAACTGTTCTTACAAATGAGTAAGATTGCCAGTCTTGAGTTTCTTCTACCAGGCATACTTACTAAAAATAAACCCTTCTATTAGGGAGAAAAAAATAAGATGGACACACATTAAGTGTACTGAAAACCAGCTTGCTGATGAATCTCAGAGCAGAATCCAGTAGTAAGTGGGGCTGACTATGAGCAAAGATCGTAAGCATTAGTTCTTGGTGAAAATGCTTTTCAGTAGGTGGGTTGGGGGTGTGTGTGTTTTAAATCCAGACTATCTGTGTTTTCATTCAGTGAATTGCATCAGCACAACAGGCAAGGAACACAGAGTGCGAGACAGCAGACCAAGAGCTTTTGCTGAACTTGCTAGCTTAGACCCCCGGACTGGCACTTGTTCAGAGAGGGATAAGGAAGTGCCAGCACCAGGTTCTGTGTGGAAACTTCAGCAACACAAGCGTAAAAGGACAGAAAACATCAGAAGAGGTTTAGGGAAGAGAGGGAGGATGACAGTAGAAGTTTGGTAGATCAGGAGGGAGCAGCAGATGAGCTCATATTGGGGAGGAGAAAGGGGTGCAGGGAAGAAATCTGTAACAGTAGAATTGACAGAGAACATTAGAGCACTTGGAGCTGTAGGGTAGGTCAGTGTTGCAGCATGATCTGAATTGCACAGTCACAAAATGTGTTTTAATACAACCAGATGCAAGAGAACCCACCTGGGAGAAAAGAAAGCAAGCTCCTGTGGTAGTATGAGAATCCGCCTCAGAAAGCAACGATGGATACTAGGGTACGAAGTCAGCCCAGGCAACTAGATGCTCAGCACAAAAGTGTAATTATATTTTTAGCATCTGCATCTATGTATCAGTGTTATGTACTACTTATCTCTGTACAGATGTTTCTTTAAGTACAGTTGTAATTATAAATAGGAAAACCACCGCAAAATCAGCATAAGCGTCACAGACCTGTGAAACCATTGCAGAGCCAAACCATGTTGCAGATGGTGAAATACAGTGCTGTGTGGGAGTTAACTATTTGCACATTCACATTATTCAATCACAGTGGCCCATTTTCACATAGCTTGCTGAACTTCAGAAAGTTTGCACAAAGGTTAAGGTTTGGCATTTT